CTAATGAGGTTCGTGATCGGCCACAAAAGACTTCCTATCCCAATCCCCCCAAGAACGATGCTCGAGATACCCCGGTTGAGATACCACAACCAAGTGGCTATTCCAATAAAGAATAAAAATAATGCGACAAAAATGAGGAGCGGAAGGGAGGCAATGATCTCTGCCATCTTCCATGTTCTGATTCCCATGGAACGTAGGTGTCGCTGGAGAGCTCGCTTACGTGCCGACGTGGTATTGAGACCCATATCGTAGCTAGCAATCCATTGCAAGGCTAAGACCGCCAATAAAGCAGCGACAAGAGCACATAGTAAACTCGTGAATAGCAGTCCGTTCACGACTATTGCATAGCTGGGGATTGTATGGTCGATCGGTTCGAAAGGAGGGAATGAATTATTGGCCAACTGTCTGGAGATAATAAGGAGTATATCCCGGCTCACATCACTTGTATCTTCTTTCAAGAGCTTCATACTCTCGACGATGAACGATGTGAGTACTGCAGAGTATAGAGCCGTCTATGATGGGTCAGAGCTCTATTACGGGCCTGATTAAAATGCCGAGTGACTTACAAAAATGAGGAGCGTATTAAGACTATCATTGCAGTCTTTGATGAACTCTCTATCAAGCTCGCCAGTTTTATAGTTATAGATTTCCCATGCCGTCGTGTCTTCTGAGACAACCAACGAATCTTTGGGATACCTGGCTTCTCTACTAATTCCGAAGAATGTTATGGGTCTCTTGGTGGTATTATTTTCCATGGAGAGCTGTTTGCATTGAGGGGTCTGGGTAGAAAGATTGAGGGTAAGAGCAAGTTACGATGGGAACTTCCTAGATCCAATTGAATCGACAGCGTCCCTCGTATTTTCCGCAGGGGATTCTATAGAGCAGATTAAAAATCTAAAAAAAAAACATCTAAGTTAGATAGAAGTCTATAGTAAGACATAGATATCTCACTGATCTCATAGTGGCTTCTTTTCAGATTTTCACCCATCACACCGCATTCGCTTCAATTGATATACACTTATCACTGGTCAGCATCGTTTTTCTCATCTCAAAGATTCCATACCATGGTTCATTCCTCGAAGGCACATGTACGGGAATTCTTCGCTAGTTGACCGAGCCATGCAATATGACTGAAGCTTGGGGTGCGGAAGGAGCATTATAAGGGTGCTATTCTATTATCAAAACACTAGGTATAAAAGAGAATCAGGGGTATATAATCAACGGGATGAAGTTACAGAGGATCTCGGGGCATGTCTTACAGGTGACGAATGCCATCAGAATCACGGAAGAGGAAGTGCATGCTTTCCAGACCTGGTAAAAATCCATCCAGACTTTCGCTCAAGTCCTTCAATGGTATCATACGTTCTTGCCGCCCTTCACTTTATGAAATTAAGGGGCCGGATTTCTCTGGTGGATCGAATGCGGCTTAACAAGGAGGGTATTCCAGTAAATTATATATCACCCCACAAAATGACAAAGTCCGTCTGTGTCACGAGAGAATCGACCCCTGTTCTGAAGCGGACCGGGTTTGAGCCCACCCAGAGACGCTCCCATAATCAGCACCCTCAATCTTGCAACCCATTCCTGCCACTCTTCATCGGACATATCTTTTATGAAGCTGAATGACCGCACTTCTCCAACTGTCGGCCAATTATATCTCTCTAAATTTGGTTGATCAATGAGAGAAAACGACGATGCAGCAAGGATTTTCGAGTTGTGGAGCTTTATCGAGTGATTAAGAACCCAAATTAGTGCAGCTTGCAAGTTGGGTAGTCGGTGAGATTGGTCGCCAATTTGGGTCCATGTTTGGCCAATAGACTGGAGGTAATGATAAGATGATAGTAGGGAGACTTGGACGTTTCGATTTGCCGTCGAGAATAGGATTTGATCGATTAGGATTTCAGTCAATATATTCTCCTTGAGGGATTGATCCTCTGTGTATATATCATTCTGAGCGATGAGTGGTAACCAAGCAAGTCCGTTTGCCTCAGAAAATTCTTCATAGAACCATTCATCGTTGGCCAATTGTCTGAGTAATGAATGGATGGTAAACCCTCCGGAATTTGCTGATTGTTCAAGGATAAGACGGAGCATGGGTGAAGCAAAGACTTGGTGCCACTTTAAAAATCGATATTAGAAATAAATCACGAAAAATGCGAGATAAACCGTCACCTTGTCAGCTTTCTGTTTCCAATTTCCCCTCGCCAAACAACTCAATGCCCCGATGCGAACATTCGAGGGGCCGTCAAGTGCAATGGCACGAAGAAAGGTGATCTGGGCATCCGATTCGAAACTGGTATTCAAGACGTCTGAGTCTTTATTGAGTAGACGGACGACCTCATGTTCAATGATGTCATTCCATTTGCTAAATTCGGTGTGGATCAACGCTTGAAATTGGAGATGAGACGGGCATAGCCACGATATGACCCAGGCAATGCAAGGATCCCGAACATGCACCAATGGACCAAAATCGGTGCTGCCCTCGAGGCGAGAAGCTGAACCAAAGTCATCGATGAAACGAACGACTTGTGAATAGAAATGGAACGAAGATGGAGGTAGTCGAGTCACGAAGTCGTCCAGTGCCAGGATCAAATCGACCCACGCCAGTTTGAACGACCTACAGAACAATCCTTCACAAAGAGTGTTACGTATTCTTTGTAGCTCTCGGTATCCATAACGCTCTTTATACCTGTCAATCATGACCCATACAAAGTCATCCATCTCCTTGGTTAGGTCCTGTCGCTTTGATTCCATTATCCGTGCCAGGAATTCCAATTCCTTCGTGCAACCGGATAAAGAGTTAATTTTGTGGGAGATTTGTGCGACCATTTGCTGTGCGACCATCCGAAAGAGTTGATAGATGGCATCGTTCCATTCGTGATTCCGGGATCCCTGTATTGCTGCAAGGTAACGAGCCTCGAATGTATCCCCAACGTGTGGAACCACAAAATCAAGCACAAGGTCCAGCAAATTCACCGGAATTACGGTTGAGGGGGGTCCGATCCGGATCACCGCAGAAGGAATCGTCCATGGCTCTGCCAAGGATCTGACAAGCCTGGTACGGTCCCCCTGCTCTAAGCATGGCCATTCTTTCTTAGCATTTAATATCATGAAATGGAGATAGTTGTATTCTATGTGAGGAATCGATTCCTTTGTGCCGAAGAATGCTAGACGCAGCAGATTTATTGAATAGTTTGTAGATTCCAAAGGGGGAGACTGCTTATAAGACGCAAAATGGACCACACTGTATATCGATCGGTTCTCCAGATCACGTAGTACTGTAAGGAATCTTCGACAGATGGGTGACACAAAGTATGGAGCTATGCCCATTCCTTTGCAGATCCACCGGGCCACCTCCAATTCATCTGTTCTGTATTCCTTCTTTCCTATGTACGGAGTACACAGCATTTCGAAAATTGCCTTCCAAGGTGCGTCCTTCAGCTTCTCTTGATCCATCAATGTCAACGCCGGTACCTCGGCCAACTCCTTCAAGAGAGCGATAAATGAATTCGTCACGGATTTCGATATCTCGATGTTGTTTGCGAGCCATAAGAGCCCATCTAGCTTAATGGTATCCTTCCCTTCAAACATATTCTCCTCACGCTGAGTGAACGTAAGTTGCTGCTCCATTGTATACTCGGCATCTTGTTCTAGCCCGTTACCACCGTGTGGAGTTGACTTGGGGGCAATCATAGTCTTCTGAAGCCATGCCATGGCTTGTCTCATGATCCCGGTCAGCTTTTTGGATACGGGCGTACGAAATGGCGCATCCACGTTAACAATACTAATGAGGTTCGTGATCGGCCACAAAAGACTTCCTATCCCAATCCCCCCAAGAACGATGCTCGAGATACCCCGGTTCATGTGCCAAAGCCAGTCTGCTATGCCAATAAAGAATAGAAACAGGGCAATGAAGATGAGAAGTGGCAGTCCGGCGATGAGCTCTGGCATCTTCCATTTCTCTACCCCTCGAAATCGAATGTGTCGTTGAAGTGCCCGCTTGCGGGGTGACGACATATTGAGCCCCATGTCGTAGTTGGCCACCCATTGCAGTGCTAACACCGCTAACAACGATGCAATGAGTGCACACGATAAGCTCGTGAAGAAGAGTCCATTCACGACAATTGCGTAGTGAGGGATTTTGAATGCCGCTTGTTCAAAAGCTGGGTGAGACGCATTCGCCAGCTGCCTGGAGATAACGAGAAGGATGTTTCGTGTGGTCTCCGTTGGATCTTCCTCCAGAAGCTTCATGCTTTCGACGATGAAAGCCGTCAGTATAGCCGAGTAGAGTGCGGTCCGCAGCCAAGTCAGCTATCGGTAATAGAAATTCAAAAGAATATCGTTACTTACGAATATCAATATCGTATTGAGGCTATCATTCCAGTCTTTGACCATTTCTCGATCAACCTCAGAGGCTTTGTGGTTGTAAATTTCCCATGCTGTCGTGGCCTCTGTCACAATCAATGGGTCCCCGGGATGTCTCGCCTCTCGACGGAGTCCGAACAAATTCATAGTGCGATTTATGCTCCTTTCTGTTGCGTCAGGGGGCATAGAAGTCTGTCGAGGGGGTGTTGTAGTGGAAAAGGTGGATTTGGAGAGCGATTTGGTATTTTTTTTTTTGTAGTCAGTCGATATACTGAAAGCGTAGAGACGGTATTAAAGTCGTGTAGATGAATACTCAGTGTGGTATGTAATCCAGAGGTGTTAAGAAATAACGAAGACGAGCGAGTAGTTGGGGAATGGGGAAGAAAGATCGAATGTTGATGCCAGATAAAGAATGTAACTATTCGAAGTGAAACATGGCAATTGTAACTAAGAATAGAGATATGGCCGAGAATATTAAGGAGACGGTAATGGGGAAGGTGATGTAGCGTGTGATTGGGCTTATGGAATGAAAGGAGCTAGCGCCGACGATTGTGCGAGGCGAAGCCTCACACCGTCCTCTCAACTTCTCGACTTCTTGAGCAATATGTAATTTTTGGTATAACATGTAATGCTTCGTGATTAATGATTAAACAAGCATGGATATGATCGTTATCTCCATACTAACCACATTCAAATGCACTACAGATACCCTCTGGATCTCGAGTGAACCGATTCTTATTCTGAAGGTGACCAGGTTTGAGCCCTCCAAGAGATGTTCCCATGATCAACACCCTCAATCTTGTCACCCACTCGTACCATTCTTCCTCAGACATAGTCTTGATAAAGTCAAATGACCGGAACTCTCCAAGTGCTGGCAGATCGTATCTCGCTAAGTGTGGTGGAGAAATAACGAGAGGAGATGACGATTCAATGCCTTCATTCGATGCATGGATATTTATCGAATTCTTGAGGACCCAAAGAAGTACATTTTGTAAGTCAAATAGCCAGGACTGGTCGCCGCCCTGAGCCAAGATTTGTCCAATAGACTGTAGAGAACGGTAGGATGACAGTAGGGGTGCTCGGATGTCTTGGTTTGCTGCTGAGAATAGGATTTGGTCGACTAGAAGCTCAACCAATATATAGTTCTCGAGGGGCTGACGACCGGAATGTACAGCGTTCTGAGCGATGAGTGGTAACCAGTCGAGTCCATTTGCATGAAGAAATTCTTCATAGAACCATTGAAAGTGTGATAGTCGTCTGAGTAAGGAAGGAGTAGGAAGGCCTCCCAATCTTACTAATTGGTCGAGGGTAGCACGGAGTACAGGTGCAGCGAAGACCCTGTGCCACTTAAAAAGAAAATCAGAGCCAAGTCGCGAAAATTGAAAGTGAATTGTTACCTTATCGGCATTTTCACGCCACGGATACTTCCCCAGACAACTAAAAAGCCTAATACGAACATTTAATGGACCGTCAAGTATAATGGCACGAAGGAACACTACGCGCGGGATCAAATTTTGTGCACTTAAAATCAGTGAATTAGGACTAAGGCACCTTCGGTTATAGACTATGCAGAAAAGGTACTTATCAGAAATAAATAGAGGATAAATTTCAGTACTAAGAAATCGCAAGTCGCTGGTTAGTGGTCGATTAGCGCCCCATTTAAGTGAATTACTGATACTACTCAAAACGGATTAGCAAATAAATTTGGGAAGGATAACTGGAGGTGCCTTACCACTTATACGACACTTTTAAGTGCACAAAATCTAACCCCGTTCCTAGTGGAAGCTGATCCGGGCGTCTGACTTGACATCATCATCCAATTCTAGTAAGTCCATTTTAAATAGATTGTTGACTTCGCGTTCAATGGTATCGTTCCAGTTACCAAATTCAGGGTGAATCAGACCTTGAAATTGGACATCTGAGGGACAACGCCACGAGATGATCCACGCGAGACATGAGTCTCGAACCTGCGCCAATGTACGAGAATTGGAGCGGTCGAAAGGAGTCGGGTATTTAATGAAGTATTTGATGAAATGGACGGTTTTGGAGTAGAAGTGGAATGAGGATGGAGGTAGTCGGGTCACAAAGTCATCCAATGCTAAAACCAAATCGACCCACGCCGATGTAAAAGCTTTACAATACATACCCCTGCAAAGATCGTCACCTATTGATAAGAATCTATCATATCCATGGGCTTCTGGAGATTTGTCAACAAGGACCCATACAAAATCATCCTTCTCTTCGATTAGATCCTCTCGCCTTGATTCCATAATGAATGAAAGTAGTTCCAATTCTTTCGTGTAACCAGAAGAGGAGTCGAATTTGTAGGATATTTGGGCAATGAGTTGCTGTGCCATCATTCGGAGGAGTGAATGGATCGCATCACTCCATCGACGACCGAACGGTTGCGTTGCTGCAAGGTAACGAGCTTCAAATGTATCCACTTCTACGCGTGGGATCACAAAATTGAGGATAAGATCTATGAGATCCACCGGAATAACATCCGAGGGTGATCCATTCCGGATAGCGGTCGAAGGAACGGCCCATGCATTGGCCATGGATTTGACAAGGCGAGTACGGTGTGGCATCGACGAACTCGACGACACTTCCTTAGCGTCCAATAGCATGAAATAAAGGTAGTTGTATCCAATTTGTGAGACGACTCCACTTGTGTGCTCGAATGCTGTATCTATTCCTATTGATCTGCGATTTCCCGGAAGCTTGGAGTATGCAAAATAGGCCATGCTAGTTAGTGATCGGTCGTTCAACTCGAGTAATCCCCCGAGGAATCTTCGAAATAAGGGTGATTCGAGGTATGGAGTCATGATGGCCATTCCTTTGCATATCCACTTCGCCCTTTCCAACTCATCCACACCGTATTCTTTCTTTCCAATATATGGAGAACACAGCATTTCGAAGATCGTATCCCAAGGTGCATCCTTCAATTTCTCCTCATCCATCAATGTCAATGCTGGTACTTCAGAAAGATCTTTGAGGAGGGCGATAAACGAACTAGTCGCAGGTGGCGATATCTCGATGTTGTTTGCAAGCCATAAAATTCCATCGATTGCAATGGCATCCTTGCCTTCGAACGTGTTCTCTTCACGCTTATTGAACGTTAGCTGTGGTTCCGTCGTATGGTCGGCATCTTGTTCTGGACCATTAAGCCCATGCCATGTTGATAAGAGGATGATAATGATCTTCTGAAACCATGCTAGGACTTGTCTCATCATCACAGGGAGCTCCTTGGATATTGGCGTACGGAACGGCGCAACTACGTTAGTGATACTAATCAGATTCGTGACTGTATACAGAAGGCACCCTATCCCAATACCTCCGATCACAATCCCTGAGATCGCTCGGTTCATGTGCCAGAGCCAGTCCGCTATCCCAATAAAAAACAGAAATAGCGCCATGAAGATGAGAAGTGGAAGAGATGCTATGAATTCTGCCATTCTCCACTTCTCGACCCCTCGAAACCGGACATGTCGCTGAAGTGCCCGTTTGCGAGCCGACGATGTGTTGAGTCCCATGTCATAATTGGCAACCCATTGGAGTGCCAACACTGCCGATAGAGCCGCAATGAGGGCACACGATAAGCTCGTGAAGAAGAGGGCGTTTACGACAACTGCGTATTGGGGAGTTTGATAAGCGATAGGCTCAAAGGCGGGAAGCGAGTTGTTCGAGAGCTGCTTGGAGATGATGATGAGGATATTCCGTGTCGTCTCCGTAGGGTCTTCGTGTAGAAGCTTCATACTCTCGATGATGAATGCCGTCAATACTGCAGAATATAGCGCCGTCTGTGGTCAAGTCGTCTACCGGTTATATGGAATCAATGACAAGTGAAATATCGTTGCTTACGAATATCAACAATGTATTGAGGCTGTTGTTCCAGTCCTTTATCATCTCTCTATCAACCTCGGCTGCTTTATGATTGTAAATCTCCCATGACGTTGTATCCTCCGTCACAATCAACGGATCCCCAGGACGTCTCCCCTCTTTACCGAATCCGAAAAGTTTTGTAAGGTCGTTTATATTCTGTTGGGCCATGACGGGTGGCATAGATGTCTATCGAGAGGGGGACTGTAAGGGCCAACACGGGTTTGGAGGGCGTCAAGGATTTGGCGATTGGTTGTGTAGCCCGGCCTCCCTACTCGCCTTCTCGAGGTCTCACTGTGTCACCATAAGCTTTCCATTGCGTTTATTATGTCGTAATGACGCTGACTGAGTATGAATATATCATTATCTCGATTGAGACTATGGAATTCAAGGGCTTTCGAACGAATCTACCAGTCTACATGAGCTAAATTAATGGCCCTTCCATAACGGATCTTACTCCCTATATAGATCCACAAATACCACAAATACCGTCTGGATCCCGAGGGAATCTACTCTTGTTCCGAAGAGGGCCTGGTTTCAAACCACCCAAAGACGTTCCCATGATCATTATCTTCAGCCTTGTCGTCCATCTGTGCCACTCTCCATTCGACATGTCCACCACAAATCTGAACGACCGCATCTTTCCAAATCTAGGCCAATACAGCCTCTCTAAGTTTGGTGGAATGAACGCGCGGCGCGAGGACGACTCCACACGATGTTTTGAATCATGGACCCAAAGAAGAGCGATTTTTAGGCTGGCCAATGCCTGGCGATTTGATTGGTACTGAATCTGTGTAGAACTTTCACCAACAGACTGTAAGTAGCGATAGCATAATAATAGGGAAACTTGAATGTCTTGGTTGACAGATGAAAAAAGGATCTGGTCAACTAGGATTTCTGTCAATATATCGTTCTTCAGGAGGCGATTATCTGGACGCATGCCACCATTCGCTATACACAATAGCCAATTAAATCCATCAGCTCTGTGGAATTCTTCGTAGAACCATTGGAATCCGACTATTTGTATAAGTAGTGAACGAATGGAAAAGACATCCGAATTTGAGGATTCCTCGAGAACGAGACTAAGCATGGGTAAAGCATAGAATTGCTGCCACTTTCTAAAACGTTAGAAGGGACTCGTGAAAGTTGCAAAGTATTTATCACCTTCTTAGCACCGTTGGTATCATTAGACCTCCATTCATATCTTGCCAACCCTTCTAAAACCTTGGTACGAGCACTTGATGAACTCTCAAGTATAATGGCGCGACAAAATGCGACCCGGGAATCCGATTCAACAATAGTGTGCCGCCTTCCAGAATGGGCGTACAATAAATCGACGATCTCATGCACAATAGTGTCATTCCAGCTTCTGACATTGGGGTTAATGAGTGCTTGAAACTGGAAATCCGATGGACACTGCCATGAGACAATCCACGCGAGGCATGGATCCCGAACCTGCATCAAGACATTAAATTTGGAGCTGTCATAGACACCAACATATACCCCAACAAAATGGTGAATAAATCGGATAACTTTCGAATAGAAATAGAAGGAGTGTGGGTGTAGCCGATCCAGGAAATCATCCAATGCTGGGACTAGACCAACCCAAGCTGGTACAGTGTGTCTACAGCGCAACCCCTTGCAGAGTATATCACATATCCTCTGGAATTCATGAAATTCATCGTCTTCTGTATGTTTTGTAATCATGCTCCAGATAAGGTCATCCTTCTCCCGATCCCCTAGTGGCTTTAATCTCCCGATTGTTGACAATATTTCAAGTTCTTTCGTGATATCCGATAGGGACTTGAATCTACGAGAGATCTGAGAGATTAGCTGCTGTTGCATTGCCCGTAAGAGTCGATTATGAGCGCCATTCCATTGCTTAACTTGCATATGGGGGTTTTCTGGAGGATAGTGAGTCCTCGATGCGTCGTCATCGACCGACACGCCGACGCCTAATAGATCATGAACGATTTCCATCAAATACACTGGAATGGATACTGAAGAGGACCCATCCCGGATCATTACAGAGGAAATCTCCCATGCGTGTGCTATTTGATGAACGAGAGAAGTGCGTTGATATATATTCAGGTACGGCCATTGTTTTTCAGCGTTCAGCAGCATGAAATGGAAGTAGTTATCCCCTATTTGATGAATTACTTCTTTTGTGTATCCGAGCGCCGTGCCCATCATTGTTGAACGATCCTGCCGGTATGAACTCCTATCTGGGTATTGCCGATAGGATGCAAAATAAGCCAAGCTAGATATCGAATGATCATCCGATTCGCGCCAGTCCTTAAGGAATCTTTGAAATGTACGTTGCTGCAATGCTTGTGGGATTATTCCGAGTCCTTTGCAAATCCATTTCGCCCTCTCTACCTCATCGGTACTGTACTCCTTCTTTCCAATGTAAGGAGCACATAACATTTCAAAGACAGCTTCCCAGGGACCATCGTCAATCCACTCTGGTTTCATCAACGATTTTGCTGGTACTTCGGCTAATTCTTTGAGGAGGGCAATAAAGATATTGGTCGCAGTTGGCGATATCTCAGTGTTGTTGGCGAGCCATCCAAGTCCATCTAATGTGACGGCATCCCGCCCGTCAAGTGCAATTTCTTCGTGCTTAGTGAAGGTGAATGACTGTCCGGCTATGTTCACAGGAGGTCGCCGTCTTCTCTCGCCTCTGAGGATGGAAACTCGTTCAGAAACGAGTTTGGGAATGAGTTCGGTAGCAATATTCTTGATTATTACAATGTACCATCTCAATATCCTGAACAACTCTTTGGATACTGGCGTCCTAAATGGCGCATCCACGTTTATGATACTAATCACATTCGTGACCATGTATAAGAGTGATCCTATCCCGATGCCCCCAATGACGATCCTTGAAATTTCCAGGTTCGTATGCCAAAGCCAGTTTGCGATTCCGACAAAGAATAAAAATAGCGCGACAAAGATGAGGAGCGGAAGAGAGGCAATGAGCTCAGACATCTTCCATTTCTGGATTCCTCGTAGTCGAGCATGTCTCTGGAGTGCCCGTTTACGAGATGATGATGTGTTGAGCCCCATATCATAATTAGCGACCCATTGTAAGGCTAGTACAGCCAGCAGTGACGCAATGATTGCACAAGATAGACTGATAAAGAACAGGCCATTGACTACGACTGCATATCGAGGAACCTGATACGCGACTTGCTCAAAAGCCGGGAATGACGTGTTCGCCAACTGTTTGGAGATGGTGAAGAGTATATCGCGTGTTGCGTCGGCAGGGTCTTCTTCGAGCAATTTCATGCTCTCGACAATGAATGCTGTCAACACCGCTGAATACAACGCGGTCTGTCGACGAGGAATTGAGTTAATCATTGAAGTGCCGTGTTCACAAAACTCCAGTGATGCACTTACAAAGATAAGGAGTGTATTCAAGCTATTGTTCCAGTCTCTAATCATTTCTCTATCGATATCAAATGCTTCATGATTATAAAACTCCCATGCTGTCGTCTTGTCCGTCACAACGAATGGAGCTCCTGACCACTTCGCTTCTCTTCCAAGTCCAAACAGTTTCGCAGATCGGTTCTCATTGTTGCCTATTGTTTCAGATGGCATATATGTCTTTCTATGGATGTTTGGGATGAGAAATAGTGGAGTTGGAAGGAGTCAAAATACAACGCCCGTGTGGTGTCCCCCACGCCAAACTCGGCCTCCGAATGCCTTATCTTGATAACCGGACTTTAGTAGTCTATACATCTGAGTTAGATCACTCTCATAACAACAGAATCGCCCTCCTTCCGGACAAACTCAAAAGCTTCTCAAGACTGTCTGCGAGAGCTCACAACGAACTGAAACTGAGCATAATGTGAAATATTGATGCAAGTTTGACTTAGATGAGCTTCATCATGTAATGTAGTAAATCTCATTGATTACAAAGAGAAAGCACCGAATAACCCGTAGGTAACACGCTAGAATCATTCTATAACGTGCGCTTATGATGATCAGAGACTTGTGGCGCGTCGACAGAAACTTCACATTTAGATGTCTCATGGCTCGTTCAAAAGCTGGATAGGAGGTGTTGGCCAGTTGCTTGAATATGACGGGGAGAGTATCTTGTGAGGTATAAGCCACATCCTCTACTAATAGCCTCATACTTTCAATATTGAAGGCTGTGAGTACCTCTGACTATAGGGTGGCATATCATGAGCTAGGTGTGGCAGAAATCAAGGTCCCAGATAGCATGTTGAGCGAACAGGGAATAGATGCGGTTTACATATCTCGTCCCTGATTCGCGTCGAACAATAAAATCTTGTCCGCTTCTACTAATGAGTAGTCGGATGGCGAGGTCGCATCGAGAAGCTGAGGGGGCACGAAATTCGCAATAAGATGGAAATCCGTATCGGAGATTTGTATCCTGCAATAGACTATCTCGGCAATATTTGAGACGGTATATATGTAGTTTATTTGGCATTGCTGTAAAATGGCGTATAGAGCGGCAGGATTACGACGCTTCCAAATTGGGCTGTTTATTTGGCGATCACTCGTTGGAATGAATGTCCTCTTCGGACGCTGGAGCGCTGCCAGCAAAAAATCCAAAAAAGTTGGAGGATGCACCTGTGACCTCAAATCAGTCCACTGTTAAAGAGAAACTCGAGAACAACAATGGGATTGCGGCAGCCGTGGCCCGCTCGTTGACACGAGGGGTTGCAGTCTATTTTTCGCGGCCAGTACGCCTTTTCAGGCCCAGTAAAGGTGATTAACCTATCATTTCTCTTATATTCAGGCATAAATTAATCTTTATCAGTCAGCGGCTGGACCACTTTGCGTGGCAGCGCTACTCGGGACGGCGTCTCACTTACTCCGCAATATGTATTGGAGTTGATCAGATCGCAAGGGGTATTATATTTATCATCCTTGATGATTTACATCTCTGATATGTAAATCGACCTAGTTTTTTATTATTCCTCGACATTTTATTCCACCACTAGCCGTCAACACCCTTCTTGGTGTAGTTTTATGGGAGTCTTATGGCTTCTCCTCGGAACATTTGGAAAAGTTGTACCCTCACCACCCTATTATGGTCGCTGCTACCTCGGGAGCCATCGCCGGGGGGTGCCAATCCCTCATGGCTGCTCCAGCCGAGAATGTCCGGATTGTTTTAGAAGCCGGAGCAGGCGCCAAGGCAGACCCAGTCAAGAAATTTCTAGAGAAGCCTACGCAAATACCAACCACCCACAGTGGTTGGATGCACGCGTGGAAGCAAGTGTTCCAAGGCCCGCAGCCTTTAGCAAAAGCGGAAACTAGAGAAGAAATCCGGGAACTCAATAGATGGTCGAAGGAGATTAAAAGTATGGCTGGGCGTGGTTGGGACGGATGGGCATGGGGTTGTGGTAAAGACATGTGCGGTAAGATCAAAGCAAAAGCTAGGGTTACATACATACTCATCTAGTTTCAGGATTTGCTTTATTCTTCTCTATTTTTGAACTCTCCAGAAAGGTGGCATCGAATGTTGCCTTCCTGTCTGTCCATGAGTTGGAACAATTCAGGCTTTCTATGCCAAATGGAAAGCCTTTGTCGGACAAGACACGTACTTCCACCGCTAGGATTAGCCAAGGTGTAACCCTTGTGACTGGCGGCGTCGTTGCAGGTCTTGGTTATGAGCTTGTGTGTCGACCATTCGATAATGCCAGGCGGTTCGTGTACCTCGATGATATGCACAAGAGAGCGGAGCGATCAGCTTCCGACCGAACTGGATCCGGTTCCCATCCCAAGTCAGTCAAGTTAGAGTCCCGGGTTCGCGTCGTCACACGAGTGATCCTAGAAAGGCTCAAATACGATGGCATCCTTCCTTTCTTTGCCAACCCGCAGCAAAGCCCTCATACACCGGAACCTTATACCTCTGGGGCAAGTAGAGCGCTGCATGGGATGCTTAGGACATTGGCTCGTGTAGGCCCCTGGGGGGTAGGGTTTCTTCTTTATGAGAGTTTGGGCGGTAATTTGCCTCAGGTTTAGTCTTGTATGCTATTTATGGATTCGGGTACTGGATAGATTTATATTCTAGATAATCACAATTTACAAATCGTTGTTTCAAGTAAGCATGTTGCTGAATTCTACGCTTTGATCGCTTCTCCTGCGCCAAAAAGTGGAGAAAATGGCATTTCCGAGGTTGGTTGCAGCCAGTTCTTGTGGTCGTACAAGGCAATTGGTGGAGACTCGATCATGTGGAATGTATAAGCGTAGCGAGTGAGTTGGGACTCGTTCTTCTCTGATTTGTGAAGTACTGATCCATGAATGAGGACCAGAGCCCCTGTATACATTGTGAGCAAAGACTGTCAAAAGCGAGATAAAATAGAGGCAAACCAGCACCGCAGGTCTCGAGAACATATTCTGAATCATCAGCTTGGGGGCTGGCGGCGGACTTGGGTAATAGGCCGAGGGGTTTCTCAATTTGATCGATCTTTTCGAATCCCGTCCCGCCTTCGGGCATCCTTACAAATCGTTTGGTGACCTCTGTAGTATAGTGAGACCCAGGAAGAAATGACAGAGCACCGTTTGAAGCTGTGCATGGTTCCAATGCGAACCAAAAGCCTAGTGCAGAGGGGGGAGAAGTATACTGAACGCGCTTCAGAGAGCCGTATGGACAGACAGTGAAAAGCTTACGAGAAATGTAGAGTCGTTATGTTCGGGAACTAGAGGGAGTGTTAGATATGATTCCTTTCAAGTAGAAAGTTGTACCTTTTCCTCCTATTTCAGGTTGCTTGCAAATGACCATGCTCTGTAGTACTACATAAAACGCCGTAAGGGCTGCTTTGAACCACACATGAAGACACATACCTAGCGGATTAGAATGGAATTTTAAATCCCGTGCCAAAGCTTTTAACTTGGGATTGTTCAGAGTTACATCCCTGAAGACAGGATCGAGTTCATGAAGCGCTGAAGGTTATTAGTGTAATATGGACATCCATATGGATGACATACCGTGTCCGATTTTATTGACTGCCAGCTCCTTGGGTCGGTTGAGCTTGCCATCAGCGCCAAGTGCTTCCTCCTCGAGAAAGTAACGGATCTTGTCACCAGACGTTAGGAAGTACTCGTCTCCTACGTGTTTCTTGGTTTCATCCTCTTCATCTCCAGTAGTAAATTTGGTCTGCGATGAGGTCATATCATGCACAGATACGCCACCTGGACACTGCTGTGCCTACCAGAGGGTGACCTTCGAGGTTGAACTCGTGAAGTAGTTCCTTGGAGCGTTGAATGAGGAGCTTGATCTCTTCCTCGGATAGAAAATTAGGAATAACCAGATATCTAGAACTAGGTGTTGGCACATCTATTTGCCACCTCCTAGATAAGGACCGTACCCTCGCTCGTAGAACTGGGAAATGCGATGAAATTGTCAATAAATATCATTGTGTTTTGAGGATATTTAAATATACATTTTTAACCTGCTGCTCGTTGAGAACTTGCAAAGATGCCATGGACGCTATTGGAATGGAGGCAAAGTAAACACGAATCCCAACTCCGACGCCACCAACACCATCGCGTTGCAGTCATGTCCAGCCAAAAAACGAAGGAAAAAGGGAACTTGACTCAGTACGTACATAAATCGCGTCCCTTGATTGCTTCCTAACCCTTTCGTAACCAGATCTCAGAATGGAAGTGCACGCGTAAACGGTTCACAAGAGTCAGCGGCCAAGCGCCCTTCATTTGCTAAGGTTTTGGAAGAATTGAAAGAAGAGGAAGATGGTGAGGAAACCCATTCTTGACCTGCTTTGGTTGATGACTGATAAAAATGTTGGATAGCTGCTGAGGGAGGTGCCAATCAGTGGGAACGCCCACCGATGCCATTCATCGACGAAGATGTGGATAATATTGTATTTCAGCAAATTGACATAGAGCAATATGCCGGAGAGGAAGATAGACCCAAGCTCCGGATGTTTGGAATTACTCAAGTAAGCTATGATTGCATCCTTTCCATCATCATTACTGATGATATTTCACATTCATCAGGCCGGGAATAGCGTCATGGCTAATATACACGGATATCTTCCCTATTTCTATGTGCCCGTACCGCGTGGCTTCCAGGAAGAGGACATTGCCGGATTTATTGTATATATCAATGTGAGAACATTTTCATTGACTAAAATACTAAATGTAAAATGTAAAATTAGGCCAAAGTAGAAGCCGAAGCCATCCTCGAAATGGAAATCGTCAAGAAGAAGAGCTTATGGGGTTATCGTGGTGACAGCGACGTACCTTTCTTGAAGATTATTCTATCCTCTCCAAAAATGGTCCCAAAAGTTAGAACAGCCTTTGAGAAACAGCAATTGGACTACAAAGAGCTGTTTAATAGAGGCGGAATCCCAACACCGACATTCGAAAGCAATCTTCTCTTCGTCCTAAGATTCATGGTAGACACAAAAGTAGGCACAAATATCCAATTGTGATGTCCTTAAACTCAAATGGAGCGCAGATAGTTGGCATGAACTGGATAGAGTTGCCAGCTGGGGAATACAAGATCAGGGAAGATGACGATAAGTTGTCCACGTGCCAGTTAGAGGTCGATATACAGTGGGACAAGTTCATATCACACTCTCCCGAGGGAGAATGGTCTATGATGGCACCTTTCCGCATTCTGAGCTTCGATATCGAATGCGCTGGAAGGAAAGGGACGTTCCCTGAGGCAAATATGGATCCCGTCATTCAAATTGCAAACATGGTGACACGACAAGGTTTGTTTTCTTTACGCGATCTTGTCATCATTCGAACCTGGTCTAATTCTAAATCTGCCACCAGGAGAATCCAAACCTTTCATTCGGAATGTTTTTGCCCTCGGTGAATGTGCACATATTGTCGGCTCACAAGTCATTAGCTACAAAGATGAAAAAAAACTATTAGCGGATTGGAGCTGCTTCGTTCAGAAGGCCGACCCGGATATCATCATTGGCTATAACATCTCAAATTTCGACTTCCCTTACCTAATGGAGCGGGCCGGCCATTTGAAGGTGCAGAACTTTCCTTATCTGGGTCGATTGAGAGGTAAAATTATTCTTTTTATTTTATATCAACTGATAAATATAAAATAGGCCAGAAGACGTATGTTCGTAATACGCACTTCTCCTCCAAAGCGTATGGTACTCGTGACTCCAAGGAAACCGTCCTAGACGGTAGATTGCAACTGGATATTTTGCAGGTTATGCAACGAGACTATAAGCTGCGCAGCTATTCTCTGAACGCGGTTTGTGCGCACTTCCTGAATGAACAAAAAGAAGACGTACATCACTCCGTTATCACGGATCTACAAAATGGTACCCCAGAGTCAAGAAGAAGATTAGCTGTTTACTGCTTGAAGGTAGGGGATTCATCGATAAATTATTGGCTTCTTGCAGCTAAGCCCTCATTAGGATGCATACCTTCCTCATCGGCTCATGGACAAACTACTATGTCTTGTTAACTATACCGAAATGGCCCGTGTCACTGGAGTGCCATTCAACTATCTCCTGTCAAGGGGGCAATCCATCAAAGTCGTTTGTCAGCTGTATCGAAAGGCCAATGCTGATAATTATCTGATACCTACAATGAAATCCGAAGGTTTGTCCTGTTGGATATTTCCACGTTAATTCCTAACACCCTCATTAGGTGGAGAGGATCAATATGAAGGAGCTACAGTCATCGAACCAAATAGAGGGTTCTACAAAAAGCCTATTGCAACATTGGATTTCAGTTCCCTGTACCCATCGATTATGATGGCCCACAACCTGTGCTACACCACCCTCCTCGAGAAGGACACCATTGATCGTCTGGGGCTTGTGCGCGATGTAGACTATATTCAGACACCTAATAAAGGTATGACCACTGTCTTCTCTTGATTATAGACTCATTAGGGATAGACTATTTTGTCAAGAGCAGCCGGCGAAAGGGTCTACTTCCGACGGTGTTAGAAGACTTACTAGCAGCCCGTAAGCGAGCCAAGACGGATCTGAAGAAAGAAACGGACCCATTTAAACGTGCTGTGTTGGATGGCCGTCAGCTAGCGTTGAAGGTATTACTCTCCACCGTTGGCCTTCTACACAAGCTTATACCAAAAATAGATCAGTGCAAACTCTGTCTATGGGTTTACCGGAGCAACTGTCGGCAAACTCCCTTGTCTTGAGATTTCTTCAAGCGTCACTGCATACGGCAGACAAATGATAGAGAAAACTAAAACTGTCGTAGAGTCTCACTTCTCAATAGCCAATGGACGGAAATGGGATGCTAGGGTCATATACGGAGACACAGACTCGGTAATGGTGGAATTTGGGTGTGATGACCTGGAAACAGCAATGGAACTGGGTCAGTGACCTTTTTTCTAAGAGATGGACCTGTACTGAACTTCACCAGGTCGCGAAGCTGCTAATTTCGTGACGGAAACCGAGTTCGTGCGGCCCATTAATTTGGAATTCGAAAAAGTCTATTTTCCGTACCTCCTGATCAGCAAGAAGCGATATGCTGGATTATACTGGACAAAGCCCGAGAAATATGACAAGATGGATGCTAAAGGCATTGAGGTATTTACGTCTCATGTGATTAGGCTTCAACTCACCCCCTATATTAGACTGTGCGAAGAGATAACTGTAGACTGGTATCCACTGTGATAGAAACATGTTTACAGAAACTACTTATTGATCGCGATGTGGACGCTGCTGAAAGGTTAGCACTCCTTTTTACCAAAAATGCCTTCCCTTAGCTCTATCGTAGTTACGTCAAAAGAATGATCTCGGATCTCCTGCAAAACAAAATCGATATGTCACAATTGGTGATCACCAAGGCACTCTCGAAAGAAAGTTAGTTCACCATCGTTTTAGCCCAGACCCTAAATAACAAATGTTAGCCTATGAGGGCAAACAGGCCCACGATGAGTTGGCCAAAAGGATGAGAAAGCGCGACGCGGGATCTGCGCCAGCTCTGGGTGATCGTGTACCATATGTGATCATCAAGGGAGTCAAATGTAAGCCCGCGAGGAATTGCTTTGAATCTTTGCCCTGACAAAAGATAAATCAGCCGCGGCTGCATACGAGAAGGCCGAGGACCCACTCTATGTTCTTGAGCACAATATACCCATCGACACCAAGTACTACTTGGACAATCAGCTAGCCAAACCTCTTGAAAGAATTTTCGAACCCATTATGGGTGAGAAAGTCAGCAGATTACGTATGTCCAAATTCAATCAAGATACCGCGTGCTCACCTCCTTTAGTGAATGGCGATCATACGCGGACCGTGTCAATTGCGACACCGACAACGGGTGGTCTAATGAAATTTGCGGTCAAAACATCAAACTGCCTAGGCTGTAAAACGCCCCTAAAAGCAAGTAACTCGCGTCCTAGTAGGTTCTCTTTCCAATTATTGTACACGACTGAACTCTTGCAGACGGTGCGGTTTGTAATAACTGCCGCCCTAGGCTCGGGGAATTGTACCAAAAACAGGTTAGACTATTTCCCCGCTTTCTTTAGCCGCGCTAATGTTCTCAAAGATGGCACAATCTTCAAGGCTCCAGGTATCCTTCGCACGGTTGTGGACACAATGTCAGAGATGCCAAGGCTCCTTGCATCTGGTACGGCTAAATTCTTAACAAATGAACGATTGCCTGATAATAATGACCTAGGACGTGCTTTGTACAAGTAAGGACTGTCCCATCTTCTATATGAGGAAGAAGGCCCAGCGAGATGTCGCGGAAGCTGTCAGCATCGTAGAAAGATTCGAGAACGAAGAATGGTAGCCTTCTTCACGTTCAATTTGTATTATTGTAAGTCGGACTACCGAGAAGCGCCATGGCTATGCTAAAGACTTCTGAGAGAGATTGTGTGTTTATAGAGAAGAGTATGATTAATAAAGCACTATGAATCGATGACATTGCTCAACAAGCCATCCTAACTTGCCTCCCACCTCTTCTCCAAGTTCTAATATCAGTGATAAGCAATGTCAACACTCTCCACCAATGGATATTCTGAACAAAACCCCGCTCAGGTGTTGATCGTTGGTTTCGGGGCAGTTGGCGTTATCTGTACGCCAAACCTCTTTAAATTTGACAAAAGCTGACGACCAGCATAGATGGATATTTCCTTGAAAAAAGTAAATTAGCCCGGGTCACTGCGATCGCAAGATCGACATATAACAGTATCAATGGTGAGCCCGCTCATAATGTAGCTTCATCGGTTCTCATCGGACCCATCAAGATCGAGGAATTGATATCCGTAGTCAGAAATGGGGAGAAATAAAGGGATGGAAACCCTCGAGACGTATGTGTTCTCATCGAATGAATGACTCATCAAGGCTTAGAGCTTTTCCAGTCGCGAGGACTATTGACGAAGTCCTTGATACCGCCTTCGACCTAGTCATCATATGCACAAAGTCGGTTCCAGAAGTCATAACTACCGCACAACTGTTGGAACCTCTCTTGAGTTCACGTTACCAACATCCACAGCCAACCTATGTTTTCCTCCAGAACGGACTTGCAGTGGAGAAGGACGTATATGCATCCTTGAAAGAGCGAAACCTTACCGCTACTCTCGTTTCATGTGCACTCTATATCATGACTAATATCACTTCAAGTATCGATGTTTCACATGGGGCATTTGTAAGCAGCTGTACAGCCTCGTATGGGGTTAATGAACCTGACCAAATATATTAGGACAGGATCCTAGTTGGAGTATATAGGCCAGATGGAGACAATACGCCATTGACATCTAAAGAGGAACAGGATATGAACCGTCTGGTTCGCTTGGTCAAGGACAGTGGATCTGATGCCGAAGTGGCAACCAATATTGCCGCCGCCAAGTTTGGTAAAAACTTATGGTAGGTACAACGGATACTCATAAATTATCCTGGGTGCTGAAGCCAGCATCAGGAACGCGTCATTTGGAATGGTGTGCTCTTTGACCGGCCTCACTCCGCAGGAATGGAACTGTACAAAAGAGAGCGGCGAAACCGGAATGCAGTTGATCAGCGAGTGCCTTGCCGAAATGATGGTTTTGGCGAGAGCTTTGGGATATGGCGAGGACTTGGTGCCTTCTAGCATGCCCCAAGGCATTATTGAACAAGCCAAGACGCTCATGGTTTCACAAAGTGACTTTGTTCCTTCTGCTCTTCTTGATGTGCGTTTGGGAAAACCGATTGAACTTGAGGTTATTCTTGGAGAGGTTGTAAGGAAGGCAAAGAAGCTCGACATACGCATGCCGGTACGTAACATCATTTCTTTTCATTGTATTTCCACTCAATGCCGCGAGCAGCACTTGGAAATTGTCTACAGAATGCTCTCCATTGTACAAGCAAACTTGTTACACAAGTCTCGCGCGTAAAGGCATCCCAAGTACTGGGTTTCCCTAGATGAATGGATCAAGTATATAATTAGAGGTTGGATATTTATGGTGGATCTCTTCATAGTCTGAGAGCGTGTATTCTCGTATGAATTTCGCCTGCTGACATCTACGTTGGACCTCTATCTGTCGACTCTTGTTCTATTTGAGGCAATATAACTGCTTTCCATATCATATCGTCGTTTATGTAGGCTCCCTGTGGCCCCTATGTTTAGTAAGGGTTGACGTAAATGGACAGCCGACCTCTTCTACCGACCTCATTTTGACCTCTCAACTCATCACGATATTAGCCACAATATCGACGGCATAATGAACCCGTTGATAAAAGAGTTACTTATCATAACATGTGATACCCAATGCTAACTGCGTGCCATTCGAAGACACGACGTTGAGCCATTCCCGGCCATCAAAATGAAACCGGCATTAGGTTATAATGGACCTATTGAACTTGTGAACGGCATCGATACGCATCCCCATATCCTCTATAGCAATCAGCCGTGTCCAAGTGGTCGTCCTCTAATCGTTCAGGCATATTGCCTGGCGGGGGTGTTCGTTGGGATGACGCAATGGATCCTGTACCGAACATCCGGTGTATCCGTAGTACATATATAGTGTCAGTGAGCAACTCGCGCAACTGTACTCCGCACCTTTCCCAACCCTTCGTCATGTCAGCACCTCCTCAAGGCAGCTTCTCGGCACAGAACCCAGCTCAAGTCTTGATTGTTGGATTTGGAGCAGTCGGCATTCTTCGTGAGTCTCATTGCCTCTGTTACGCTGGAGAGTAATAGCTGTATATAGATGGGTACTTTCTCGAGAAGAGTAAACTGGCTCGAGTGACTGCCGTCGCACGTTCGACCTATAATAACATCAATGGCAGGTGGATATACGTTTTCTGGGCTTGGTTCTCCTAACATTGTCTATTCAGGGCGTGGAGTTAATATTAATAGCCCGAGGTGGGGTCAAATTGAGGGCTGGAAACCATCACGAGGTATGTGCTTTCTTGCGGACCAGATAATCCGCTAGTATTGATAAATCTTTCTAGTTGTTCGGTCCATTGATGAAGTTCTCGATACTGCCTTCGACTATGTCATCATTTCCACCAAAGCCGTCCCGGAAATCAAAACAGCAGCACAATTATTGGAACCTCTACTGAGCTCCCATTATATTCATCCTCACCCGGCATATGTGTTTCTTCAGAATGGATTGGAAGTAGAGCGGGACGTGTATTTGGCGTTAAAGGAGCGCAACCTTACGGGCACCCTCGTTTCAGCGGCGATCTATATCATAGCCAATATCAGTCCAAATGGGGATATAATTCATGTTAATGAAGCAAGCGTGAGTGTTGCCATTCAACAATGACCTGCCCTCATCACTACCTTTCAGGATAAACTCCAACTTGGCGTGTACAGACCTGATGAAGTAGACCAGGCTGTTACGTCTACAGAGCGGCAAAATTTGGAGCATTTAGTCCAATTGATAAAGGACTGTGGTTCGCCGGTTGAAGAAGCACCAAATGTTGCTGCCGCCAAATTTATCAAGGATCTATGGCGAGTAATCTTTTCGAAAGACAAGGTCCTCCTTACTAAAACTAGGACTAGGGTTGCAGCATTCGACATGCTATCTGCTTTGACTAGTCTTTCTCCCCTTCAATGGATGTGCACGAACCAGAGTGGAGAGATAGCCTTTGGCCTAGTCAACGATTCTCTTGCTGAGATGATGGTCTTGGGAAGAGCATTAGGTTATGGCGAGGATTTGCTACCATCCAGCCTCCCAAAGGCCGTTGTGGATCAGGCAAAGGGTATCTTGGCCGCGAAAATCGACTTTGAGCCAGCATCCCTCGTAGGTGTACGTAAAGGTAGACCTATTGAACTGGAACCTGTCCTCGGAGAACTTGTGAGAAAGGCCAAGAGGAGAGACGTAAAAATGCCGGTACGCTCCTAGTCTCATTAAATCAAAGGAATGTTTAACTAAAAATGCATTGTAAACAGGTTCTTGAAACTACATATAGGATGCTTTCCCTTGTACAAGCGAATCTGCTACACAAGTCCCAATGATAGAACCCAGGTAAAAACAAGAAATGAATTGTACTCCCCAGCTCACTCCAAAAATTGTAGATATATATAGCAAAGAGCCATATGTTTTTTTTGACACTGTCCATGATCTCGGGTGAACCCCCGAAGCGAGTAATTGACTTCATATTGGCTCCTTATGAACGTGAAGTCGGAGGCGACCTAATCGGCATCTGTGTACCAGAGACGCAAATGAGATCTGCAAAGTCGTGTTTGCCACAAGCGAAAATCCTCCGGTACTTCCTTCCCCATTCTTCACTATAGCGGTTCCAGATCTGCCTTCGTTGCGGCCAGGAATCGAACCAGAGCCTGAGGGGTTCAATGAGGCAGATTTCTTCATCTTTGTCTGAGTGGCCCCAATGGTTACTTGGCGCACGGTTATTTTGAGCCTGCTCTAGTTTTGCTTTTGGTTGCTCTGGTAGTTCTCTGTGCGCATCAATCACCTGGATTTCTGCGCTACATGGCAGCCCACAGTCGATGCAGCAGTCACAGCCTCGCCTGTTGATAATCATGATTAGCAAGAGCAAACTAAAGCAAAGAAAGGTACGTACAGTGTGGGGTCAAAAACTCCGTTTCGGAAAGAGAGCGCTATTTGTGACAGAGCTGGCAAGAGAGGGACACGTTGGGATAGTAAATCGATCAATGGCGTTAGGAACGTCTTTGATGGATATCCGGGAAGATGGATGAACCGTAGTGGTGTCACGATAGAACCTGGCATAAAGTTTCGGCGTAAAAGCATATGGAACAATAGATCCCAAGAGGGATAGCAATGGAACGCTATCGTCTCGAGATTTGGACAGGCAGTTGGCATGCGTAAGAGGACTTCACAGAAGTCATTGGCATCTTTTCTCGCATAAGCCTCTGAGAACACGACCTTGCGCAGGGAGGTAATGCTGGTGGTGATAACGGAGCAGTGGCGAAGGGTCTCGTAAGAGACGGAACCATTCCATGTCAAGGTCTGAATAGCCGGATACCGGTTTTCTTGAAAGAGCTTCAGGGAAGATTCTATCGAATCTTTCGAAGGTCCTTCCGAAGTAGAGTTGCCGGGGTGCTCGTCATCAGGACCACCCCCACCCACCGCATCGATCCAGAGGTCGACCAAAAATGGCAACTC